GAGTATGTCTTTTTCAAAAACACACACACTTCCTGTAGTTCAGCAGAGACATGATCACTAATGGTTTGAAACAAGTGACATTCACACAGGCCAGACTGATCATATCTGCCTCCTCTTCTTTTGCATCTGTAATGAGGTGTTAAATTGATCCACAGGTGCATATTTTCTGGTGCAAAGGCCAGAGAACTATGTGGGTGAGTTACTGTGCAGCAGTGGGCCAATGAGGAATAGTGACTTCCTTTTTCTCTCAATCATTATGTATGAGACCACTTCCTCTACATGTACACAAGCAAAAACACACATATTGTCCAAAGATGAGGTTTTATGTTGCCATGGCAACAGGGTATTTTAATTAAAAGCAGAGGCCAATGTTTGGATGAGACTCTTATCAACCAGTTGAATAATCTTCTTTCTTCCTTTGATTCTTACTTCCTTCTTGTCATTTTGTTCTTACTTCTTCCCTAAAAGATATGTTCAATTTGCCTGATAATGCCCTAAGAAGACTTCACATGTGTTTGACATCTTAAGTGATATTAAAATTATTAAATAAAATGAAATAAAAAATAAAATATTTTTAAGTATAAAAACATTCAAATAAGATTAAAATAAGATAGTAAATTAAAATAAAATAATGAAGAGGTATTTAAAGTAAAATACGACATATTAAAGTAAAATATTTTAAGACTAATTTAAACTCATTTTAAGACAAAATCTATATAAATATTCTTACGATGAGTTTAACTCCGTCATTAACTCCTTCTAGGCAATCCCAGCATGCACCCTGCTCATGAATATGGAGTGTGTGTCCATCTGCCTCAGACCCATGTATGCTGTCTACCGACACAAGACACCCTGCTGATGCCAGATCTCTCACACACACATAAAGCTGTATCTCTTCTCATTAACCCTCAATCAAAGTCTAACTGACATCTTCTCATCACTAATTCAAAGGCCAAAAGAGCGTGTTCGTGTTCAGGGTCACAAAATCTCTCAAATGAACTCTTCGTGCTGTGGCATCTGACATATCAGGCTAACCTTGATCACAGCGCTCTGAAATGCTGTTTGATGAGGGACTGCCGTTGTGGAGCATCTGAGCCGCTGTAAGGGTCGTGTTTCTCTGTGGATGCTGCTATCCTGGGTTCGGTTGAGGATTACAGTACAGCAGCGGTTAATCATACTAATGTGATTTCAAGGCAAGCAAGATTGAGTTGGCTGTTTGTTTTTGAAAGGCAAAATCAGATCACTTGAGAAACCCGGCAACCAGAGTCCATAGTGGTTTCAAATCAATAATTTATGTCTGCATATGCTAGTCTGTTTAACAAAAGAAAGGTCAAGCATACTCAGTGCAATTAATGGTCAGCTGTAATTTAAATCCACCATGTTTAATTATGCAGTCAAACCTCAACGCCTGAAATCACATATGCTTACTTCTGAAAGACTCCTCGTGCTTTACAATCTGTGAAAGATTACTGCCATGCTTAGACTTTCACTGTTCTTTTCATTTTATTGTCATCAGTCAAGCTGAATCACTGAGCCAAGTGGTGTCACTTCCTCTCAATCATGCTCAACAGAGGTTTTTAGCCTGAACATGGTGAATTATGATTTATGATCTCCTGGTTTATCAATAAATTCTCTTTGTAAAGGGGAATCTGCATAAACAAAAATCTCATTGCAAAACCACATCAACTAATAATTTTCCAGTGGCCTTGGTTCCAAAGGTAGCTATACAAAAGTTGGGGTTTTTAGGATTTGTATTAATTTTTTTTAGAAGAAATTAATACTTTTATTCAGCAAGGAAGGATGCATTTGATTGATTAAAACACAGTAAAGGCAAGATTAAAATCAAGATCAGGTGGTTAAAAAAGTATTGACAGTTTCTACTCTGACTCCATCTACTCTTATCTGTAGGGTTTGAGATATTTCACAGATTATGAAAAGCTCTCAAGTGCTAAAAACCCAGTAACACTTCAGTTGGTTGCACCGATCTGGGACACTTCCGCCTTATTCTTACCAAACACAGCTGACATAATAATGTTTAAGCGTCTATATGGAAACGCAAAGCAGTTGCTGTCCGAAAAGCCGAAATAAAGAAATTTCCCCCTTTTTTGTCACAATGTGCACTTGAGGAAGATCACATTTTTTGCCCAAATAAGTCTTTAAGTTGAACATTTCATACTACAGATGATTAAGGAAGCAAATGCAATCGGCACTTCCTAATAATAACCAAGAGCGGTACAGTCAAAGCCTTGAGCTGATACAGACTTCCTTCTGCCTTAGCAAAAAGGTTTGACTCATCTGATTGGCTTTAATGATAGCTGGATTTTAACTCCGAGTCATTTCAGTTGCTGTTGTTGGAACAAAATCAAGTTTGTTGAGTAATTATAAAGAAAGTCAAAATAAGGAACAAGAAAGCTAATTTGTAACTACGTTTGTGCTCTGTACTTAAAATGTCCTCTTGATATCCAGTTATCCACTTTCTAGAACTCTTGAAACACTTTACCATGCAAGTCTGGACTTGAATGAAAGTTAAGGAATGTTTTTATTTTCTTGCTATTTAAAAGGTGTAACATTTTTCCTGTGCAGTCTCAGGGGTCTTCAGCTAATGAGGATTTAGCTGCGATGCTGACTACTCCTGATGACGGACACACATGTACTGAATCTACTGTATGCTGCATACTTTTAGGAGACTGACCCCCAGAAAAACGTTTTTGCTGCAAATCCTTCTCGAAATTCATTTACAAATGATTTGTTCAAAACGAACACTTAAGTTGAGCCACCCAAGAGCAGAAATCTGACTTTAATACAATTCTTTTGAAATAAGCAAGCTACTGGACACTTCAAAACATTGACACTATCATCAGTTCTTCAGCTGGACAATGTCATAGACTGTGAATATAATAAGACTGTTCACTTAAATTACTAGGAATAGGAGAAAGTGCAATGCACAATATGGTGGAATAAGTCCTGCCTTCTAAATAATAGAGCCAATCTTCAATTGGTAAAGTCATCATGTCACTGCAGCTGCCATTAAAGCTCTGGTTCCCATAGAAACAGACTGTCTTGTGACACGCGCTTAAGACTATCTGAGCATAGGAACAACATTTATGGGACAGTTCATGTCAGATTTTGCTGCAGTTTCAAAATATGTTATTTAAATGCAAGCTCTGGCAAGCAGTTTTTGAGATTTTGGTATTGTAACGTTCATGCTGTGATCTTGCATGTCTGAAACAGCTGCCCGGAGGCATTGCAAATATTGCCAATGAGTTTCCTTTAAAGGGACTTTTTCAAAGGGACAGTGATTTTTTTTGCTAAGCACCACCCCCTTTGGTTAACATAACTCAACACTTCACAGAACATGCCACAGGAGTGAACTG